GCAGCAGCAGCAGTGAGTGAAAAGAGAAAGCAACACGCGCGTACGGAAACGCGCATCGATGTTTCTTTGATTCGGATTCGGGATGATGATTCATGTCATGGTGATTCGATAATTGTGATTGTGATTTGTTTCACGTATTCGCATATTCACACTTCTCAATCTAGGCTGCAATTGCAGCGAATTTGTCACATTTCTGGTTATTATGCTGCGTGCGTGGAAAAAAGTCAGAGGATAGTCACAAATCACGAGGGCTTACTTGACTGGTACAACAGTCCCGCCGGCGGAACTCATGCGCCGGTATCATGGCTCATGGCTGGCTGCGCGATCGAGCCGAGCGAGCGAGCGATCGATTCGTGACTATGACTATCGGACTGCACCATTTGACTATATTCTCAAACTAACACTCTTGACTGCACTCCTTACTGTTGTGATTTCAAGATTGTGATTGTAGCTGCTGTTTGCTTAGCAGCGGCATGCGGCTCATCAGCTGATGCATGTGAGCGACTGCTGCATCGTGCTGCGCGCTCCTCGCGCTGCTTCGCTGCTGCTGCATGCTGGATGGATCGACGCAAATAAGAAAGCTCTTGTTGGATTTGATTTTGATTCTGCTGTTTCGGATTCGTGATTATTCGTGATTGCACAGTAATCTGTATTTCCAGCCTTTCTCGACAGGCAGGCGGTCGTCAAGTCTTGGGATTTTTGAGTCGCGAATTGTACATTTGATTGGTCTTTGACAGTCTCACAATCAACACATTTATTTAGCAGGCTGCGTCCTTGAGAGCCAACATTGTGATACTTGACCTTTGGTGTAGATCTCGAGCTGGCCAGCCTGTCGCGCACGCAAGCAAGCTAGCTGCAATCCGAAGCTTTGGCGCGAGAAGAATCTGAAAAGGGCGCCCTCTAGAAGCGAATCTCTTCAGTCGCGTCGTTCAACTCTCTCAGCACACCATCTCCATAGACGCTTTACCAACCTTGCTCCTCTTAGAGCGCACTCGAAGCCTGCTGCTGCCAGTCTGTGGAGGTGCACCAGTACGTCTGCGGCTGTTGGCATTGCGACACGACCCGCAGACCTGTACATCCATCACCCGCTACTCGCCCTTGCCAAGGTCGAGTCGCCCATGCCTTGGAGAGAGGTGTCGCAAGCCGCAGCTTCTACCCTGCCATCTCTGAACACTGCTCCGACTCAGCGCCACGTTCGAGACCGCTCGTAGGCGCGCAAGCTTGCGAGGCCTCTTCTTCTCGCACAACTCATCAGCCCACCTGGCACTGAGCTGCGGTTCACACTTTGTCCTACAGCGAGCTCTCAAAAGGCGGACATCATCATGGCGGCCGCCAGCTGGACACCCCAGCAGGATGGCTTGAGCGAGCTCCTGGGGCTCTTCAGAGAGTCGCAGAATCCTGATCGGGATGTGCAAATACACATCGCCAATGTGAGTGCAGAATGGGCGGATAGGAAGTCGCAGCTAGGGTTCGTCCGAGATGTGCTACCTTGCAATCTGGGCTACCGACTCGCCCTCTTGACTGTCATTCTGATCGCTGAAACTTTCATCGCAGAGGTTGGAGACATTGCGGCAGATCCCAGACTATGCGAATTACCTTGTATACGTCTTGACGCAAATGCCTCAGGAGGAAACGAATACGCGATCCATCGCAGGTCTCATCCTCAAGAACCACATTCTCAACTACAGCCAGACGCTGCATCCGGACAGCGTCGCCTACGTCAAGGCGGCCATCCTTCCTGCAATTTCTTTGGAAGAGGACATGCTTAGACGGACTTCCACACAGGTCGTCTCGATGATCATGGAGATTTATCGACCAGAGTCTTGGCCAGAGGGGCTGGAGCAATTGATATCATTGATGACTTCACAGCATCCCAAGGGCTGCGAGGTGAGTTGCGCTTCCGGCGATCACGGCTACGATGAGGCCAAGCAAGCTAATTCGGCCCATGCTGGACGACAGGGAGCATTCAGCACACTGGCTAAGATGTGCGAAGACATTCCTAAAGAGATTGAAGAATGCGAAATCAACGGCATGCGACCCTTGCAGATCTTGATACCCAAATTCTTGGAAGCCACGAATCACCCTGATCCGCTGGTCAGATGCCATGCCTTGAACTGTCTCAACCAATTCATATCCGCATCATCAGCAGCGCTGCAGGAGCAGTTAGACCTCTACATCAAGGCGCTCTTTGAGCGCTCCAGCGACCCGAACGACTCGGTGCGACGCTTCGTCTGTCAAGCCATAGTTCTCATCCTTGGCGCTAGGCCAGATAAGCTCTTGCCACAGCTGTCGGGTGTGGTCGACTACATGCTTTACTGCACGGCGGATAAAGATGACGAGGTTGCACTGGAGGCCTGCGAATTCTGGCTGCAATTCTCTGAAGACCCTCAGCTCAGCGATCATCTTCGACCATATTTGCCAACAGTTGCACCTGTCCTTCTCAAAAGCATGGTGTACAGCGAAATTGACTTGCTCATCCTAGGTGCTGACCAAGACGACAATGATGAGGCGGAGCCGGACAGGCCAGAAGACATCAAGCCGAAGCATTACGGTGGTGCGACAAAGCGTAATGAGCACATCGACGAAGCGGAGCAGAACGGCGCTGGTGGCAGCAAGATGTCGCGCGCCGCTTTGGAAGCGGAAGATGAGGACGACGACGACGAGGATGATGATGATGACGATGATTACGAGGATGATAGCGACGATGATGGATCGGGCGAATGGAACCTGCGGAAATGCTCGGCTGCAGCTCTGGACGTGATGGCTGTGCAATTCGGCAATGAGCTGCTGCAGATCTTGTTGCCCTACTTGAAGGAGCGCCTTTTCTCGGATGATTGGCTTCAGCGTGAAGCAGGTATTCTGGCTCTCGGTGCCATTGCTGAGGGATGCATTGCTGGTATACACGAACATTTGCCGCAGCTCGTCCCTTTCCTCATCAATAGCTTGCAGCACCCCAAGCCTTTGGTGAGGTCCATTGCCTGCTGGACGCTAGGCAGATACTCGTCGTGGACCGTGGGCACCAAAACGCCCGAGCATCAACAGCAATATTTCTTGCCAGCCATGGAAGGACTGCTGGGCATGGTGCTCGACAGAAATAAGCGCGTCCAAGAGGCTGGCTGCAGCGCCTTTGCAACGTTGGAAGAGGAAGCTGGCGCGAGCTTGCAGCCTTTTTTGGAGCCGATCCTCAAGACACTGGTCTTTGCTTTCAACAAGTATCAGCAAAAGAATCTGCTCATCCTCTACGACGCTATCGGGACGTTGGCCGACTGCGTCGAATCGGCATTGAATCGCCCAGAATATGTGGAAATCATCATGCCACCTCTGATCAGCAAGTGGCAGAGCTTGGACGACGGCGATGCGGATCTTATTCCTTTGCTTGAGTGCCTTTCATCTGTCACCATTGCTGTAGGCCCCGGCTTCTTGCCCTACTCCCCACCCGTCTTTCAACGATGCGTAGGACTCGTTCACAGCAACCTCGTCGCTGCGCAAGCAGAGGCGCAGAAACCCCTTGACGAACAGGAGATGCCAAATCGAACGTTCATCATCGTGGCCTTGGATCTGCTCAGCGGCTTGACGCAAGGCCTGGGTGCGGATGTGCAACCACTGATCGAGCAGTCAAACCCTTCTTTGCTGCCTCTCCTTGGTGCTTGCTTGACCGTGAGTCTGCCTCTGTGGCCTCCGACGCGCCTGGCGCCGACTCACACAAGATCCTCTCCCTTTCTCTCAGAATCCCGATCCTCCGGTCCGTCAATCAGCATATGCGCTGCTGGGCGACTTGGCGATCTGCGCGTTCCGTCTTCTGAGACCGCAATTGCCTTCGATCATGAAGGAATTGATAGCTCAAATCGTTGTGGACCCTCCGAGCGAGAGTGTCAGCGTCTGCAACAACGCGACCTGGGCAGCCGGAGAGATTGCGCTTCAGTATCAGGGTCAAGATACTAGCGAGCTGCATCAATGGATCCCTTCCTTGACGGAAAGGCTAGTTCCCGTGCTGATGAGCACCAAGAGTCCAAAGAGCTTGATGGAGAATGCGGCTGTCACCATCGGCAGGATTGGACTCGTCTGCCCTGCCCTCGTCGCTCCCCATCTCGAACAGTTCATCGAACAGTGGTGTCAGGCCTTGTGGGACATCAAGGACAACGACGAGAAAGACTCTGCGTTTAGAGGTCTATGTGCCATGATACAGGCCAACCCTAATGGCGGTCAGTACTTCAGTGCCAAGTGCGAGGTGCTTGGAACAAGTAAGTAAGCTCATTCATTCTGCACTTCCTTTTTTCGCCCTGCTGCGCTCCGCAGCTGCCAAAGGCTTCGTGTACTTCTGCAATGCCGTCGTCGTGAGTAGCTTCTTGACGTCTTGCGTTCCGTGATGCATCCTTTCTGACCTTTGCCATATCGGCGTCCTCGCAGCGCTGGACCTCGCCTTCCCAAGCGTTGAACGACCAATTCGTCAGCATTTTGAATGGATTCAGAGAAATGGCTGGTCCAAATTGTAAGTCGTACGCAAACCGTCGCTTCCGCGCGCAAGCTGTTCGTTGCTCTCTCGCATAAAGGCGCTGAGATCCAACCTGGCTCCGTCGCATACAGGGCAAACGCAAAGAACGCAATTCCCTCCACTTATCGCTCAGAGGTGAGTAGCGCTAAGCAACTCACGCGCCAATGGGATGATCTCTAGACTGACCAAGCGCAATTCATCCTCGCAGACTGGAGCAACGTTATGGCCTATGAGTGTTATCGTAATGCCAAGACTGTCAAGAAAAAGTGCCTGGTGGCTTCCATGTGAAATTTGACCACTTGGCACTTCAGCTCTGAGCGAGATTAAAGAGCTCGAGAAGCGATCGGTAAGGCTCTTTCCGAAGAAGGCCGTAGACTAGGCGCTTGGCACACGG